GAGTAGCCGGAATTACAGGCGCGTGCTACCACGCCCGGCTGATTTTTTTGATTTATTGTAGAGATGAGGTCTTGCTGCCCAGGCGGGTCTCAAACCCGCGGGCTCAGGCAATCCACTCACCTCAGCCTCCCAAAGGCGCGGGATTACAGGCTGAGCCACCGAGCCCGGCTAAAAGGTAAATTCTTAGTTTGCAGGGAAAAATGTTAAAATTAAAAATTCTTAAGTACTAACAAAGAAAAATGCCAGTGAACTGACAGGCTGGCACCTATGTCTTTCAGACACTGCATGCAATTTGCCTACCTGCCTGGACTATGAGCTAAAATACTTCCCATGGCATTGCCTCTGACACTGACTGAGATAAACTTTATACCAGTACAGACCAACTTCCTGATCTCCTAACAAAATCTCTTCATTCCAGTCTGAAAGCTCATACTTTCTCTGCTAGACGTCACTTCCATGCTCTGCTGAAGGTGTGAGAGCCCATCCAGGCCACTGCAGTGAACCAATACTGACAGTGAGCACTGGAGCTGATGAGTTTTGAGGCAAAGTGTGCTACAAGTAAGGATGAAACGAGTCAGGACTTGGAAGGTGTGAGTGTGAATGTTGCTTTATACTGAGGCAAACAGCCCCTTCCTTTTACTCCTAAAAGGACCTGTTTAAAAAGCACAAGCTGGACTCAGCAGAAAAGCTGTGACACTGTCCAACCCTGGAGAGTTTCCTCTTCCTCACAATGACCTCCAAGTGCTTTCAAGGGGAATACAAGCCTTTTGAATTGGCCTTCTAGTTTCTAGAATACTCGCAGAAATGGGCTGGAACCAATGACTTTATTGGGTGTGACAGTATAAATCCCAGTTGCGATTCCTTCATTAGTTAGAAGCCTCATAGGGAAAGGATCATGTCCTTTCTCAGGTTTACTTACTTGCAGGTCCCATCACCCCAGGTGAAGAACCATGAACCAGGTGAGACTTAGTAAAAGTCGTCGCCTGGGGCAAGAGACTGGGCTGGATGGAGGGAGTGCGAACCACAGGGGCATGCCGAGGGAACTGGGCCACCACCTCCTCGTCTTTGCAGGACACCCGGGCGTCTTCACTCTCCAGAGACTGGGAGACAGAGGACGTTGAGCTGACTTCATCCAAGTCTTCATAATATCTCTGAGACAGAAAGGCTGACCGAGACAGGCTGGCTACAAAAGCCCCAAACAAAACAGTTGAGACAACTCAAAGCAAGTCCAAATGCTATGTTATTTTCACTGTCAATAAAGGAATATCCAATTTGTAAAATAATTTAATTATTACTTATTATAAATGGAAGCAGCTATTGTCAAATCTGAACAAAAAGTGGTCTGGGGTCTTTGCTTAAACAGGGCTTTGAAAAACTGAGCTGTGTGAAGAAAGAACATTTTGGCTGTCAAACAAAAGAATGGGAAAAAGTGAGAGACAGAATTAATGCTAGTGTCAAACAGAAGACCCTGAGCTCTCACCAGAAATTCTCACCAGCAGAATGATAATATGCCAGAATAGTAACAGACAAGCTTCCGTGACATCATTACCTTCACTTTCCAGCAACAAACTTCTAAGAACAGGCATAATGCAAGCTGGAAAAGACAATGTCCTCAGTTCTGAATGTCTCAAATATTTCCAGATAAATCTAATGTTTCTTTGGAATCAGACAATTAGGTTTAAAAAAATAAAACACCGAACTCAATCCTGGCCTTCTCAGTTTGTTTTTCTCCTTTTTTAAACTATGAAGTAAGGCTTTACATCATGTCACTTTCTACCATAAATTTCAGAATGCATGTTACTTCCTATATATTGGAAAAATCAAAAACAAAACAAAAGTCTAGCCCTTTTCTCCTCGCCCAGTTGTATAAAAAGGTTTTGCTAATATTTATCGGAGTGTGTCCTAGACACACATCACTGCATGATTTTATTGTCTTAATGTAAGTGTAACTGAAACCAATGCTAAGCGCTAGGACTGTGCTGTACTATTTGACAGCCACTCGCCATATGTGGCTATTTAAAGTTAAAGTAGCTAAAAAGGAAATAAAGGCAAAATTAAATTCTGCAGTTGCACTAGCCACATTTCAAATGCCCTACAGCCACACGTGGCCAGTGGCTACTCTGCTGGACACAGAACAGATACAGAACATTTCCAATATTGCAGCAAACATGCAGCAGAGTTGCTTAGAAATTCTATCCACGACCACCAGTACCACCAGTAAAACTGCAGTTAACATTTACGGAGAACTTACTTTGTGCCAGGTGCTACGCTAATAATCTATATACATTATCCCAGTTAATCCTCACAATTACTCTATAAATTAGAAACTGCAATTATCCAGTTTTATGGTTGATGCTTAGAAAGGTTAAGTAATTTGACCGATGAATCTGGTGAGTAGTAGAGACAGAATTTAAACCCGCGTGGACCTGATTTCAAGGACTACATTCCTATCACTCTGTTGTATCAGACTGAACCTGGCCAGGCAGAATTTTAACCCCATGGCCTTTGCTCCCTTGGTGCCATGACCATGTTGATGTTATGTCAGGTGGCAAAAGGGATTTTGCAGATATAATTAAGATTACTAATCAGCTGACCTTAAAATAGGGAGGCTATCATGTATTATCAAGGTGGGTCCAGTGTAAAATCCCATGAGCTCAAAAGGTCTAACAGGGAATTAGAGTGATGTAATGAAATTTGGGGAGGCAGAGATTCAAAGTCCAAGAAAGGTTCAACGTGCCATTGTTAGGTTTAAGACGAAAGGGGCAGGGAGTAGACACTGAAGAAACAAAGACCTTGGTCCCACAGCTGCAACGAACTAAGTCCTGCCAACAACCTCTATGAGCTTGGAAGTAGAATCCTCCCAGAGCCTGCAGGGGAGAGCTCAGCCCAGCCAGCACCCTGATTTCAGCCTTGTGAGCTCTGAGCAGAGTATGCAGCTGAGACGTGTTGAGTCTGGACATCTGACCCACAGAACTGTGAGATAATACACAGGTGTGGTTTTTTTTTTTTTTTTTTTTTTTTGG